ATAACATTTATAATAGTCACAGATTGAAAAAAAGTTAAAATATCTGCCCCCATTCATGTAGAAAGTTTCCTACCCACTGGTTCCTGAACAGCTTTGAGAACTCAGTTAAATATGCCTTGATCCATGCACTGGCACTCTCACATTAAGGTCACAGATTCTCAGCTAGCTGGAGGTAGCCAGCTTTCCCTTAAGTGGCAGAAGTTGTCAAGTACTTTGAGACCAAAATTTGACCTTGACTTGATTAAGAGTGTCTAGCAATGAAGGGTTTAGGATAACATGCAACTTAGTGACACCTGGCTTAAGTCACCATGCAATAACCATGATTTCAGTAAAGAGGAACCAAATGGATACAGTTTTACTGCATCTACCAAAGTCAGAAGTCCATTCCTATTGTGTTAGATCAAACCTGGAAGTGAAATGGGTGGCCAGTCACCAGCAAAGTATCAAGTTAGCCTGGCTTCAATAGCCAGCTGAGCTTAACAGAATGGTTATTGCAAGTGATAAAGCTACCAGAAGCTAGTACTTGGATAAGCAAGGAATTCCAGTACCATGAACTCCTTCTCACATACCTTTCTCCTTAACCTGCAGGGAAATGAGGCCATCATCTATATAGATTTTGCTGCCCACATCCACCACCTTGATGAGGTTCTTGTAGTCCAGCCACAGTACATTTTCATCACATTTCTCCATGAATGCATTGTCCAAGGTCACTTTGAGAGTTGCTCCCTTCTTAAGTTCCACCTCTGCTGTGCCACTCTGCGTGCAACAATGGAAACATTAGTAACAGAAATGCCTGTGTGGGCTGTTGGGACTAGAGAGCATGCTATGGCCTGTGATATACAGGAGATCAAACTAGATGATGTAGTAGTCTCTTCGGGTTTCATTTCTCTGCAACATTAATAGCCATTTTCTCCAGGGCAGCGGTTGTGATTTCTAGCCCGGCGGTAGCAGTCTCCCACATATATAGTGTATCCTATGCCCACACCAAGAGCAATCTTGGGCAGACAGCGATGGAAAAAGAGGTGCCACGGGCTGGAAAGCTTACTTTCCTGCAGGGGACGTGCTCCAGCCTAGCAATCAGTCTTTATGGTCACATTCAGTTTTGCACAGTGGACATGCGATTCATCCACACTGTGGAACAGTGTCTCCCCCGCCCCCAACCTAAAGTGGCTGAAAATGGTCCAGCTTTGTTCTTTCATTCAGAGGTTTAACACAAACCCTGAGTCCAGAAGCAGAGCTAGGATTATAGCCACACGATCACCTAGTGCCTTACAGGTGTTGCATGTAGAATCAAAGTTTGTATAAACCAGTTAGTGCAGAACAAACTTACTCCCTTGATAAGTCCAGTTCGGATTTCAGGTCCCTTGGTATCCAGTGCTACAGCCACAGGTCGGTAGGTGATGGGATCAGAAGCAAAGCTCTCTGTAGCTTCTCGCACGTTCCTGATGGTTCCTTCATGGTACTGGCAGGGTGAGAGAAAAAACCTTTTATTCTTTTGCTTCCCAAAGGCTTTGCTCGGCTTTCCCTATGCTCAGCTACCCCAGCGTGGAACAGAGTACAGGATCTAAGTTTCAAATTTCTCATTGTCACTGTCTGGCGATCTGCACATGCGCAGATCGCCTGAACCCGGCTCTTCCGGGTTGCAAGCTACTTGCCCAGGGTGAGTAGATTGTATTATTTGTCGAGCCCTGCTCATTGTAAAGCCATGTGTCTGGACAAGGTCTTACAAAAGTCAACTATCGGTACAGCTGAAATGTACAATTCCCTTATGGTGGATACAGCTGGGTTGTGTACTTATATCAGTATCCCCCTTCCTGGCAGGATAGCTATCCAGTAAGGGGCACCCTGTAGTATTTTTGGTTGGGGTTGTGTATGTATTGTATACTAGGATTATACTAGTATAGACAGACCGGTAAAAAAGTCACAGCCCTAAACACAGGTATCAGTATTGCTGTTTAGACCAGCCTAAGTAAACTGAGTTCTCTCAAGCCTGTGAACCGACAAAAGCAGTGGCAGAGAAGTGTAAGTAGTTCAATTCCTCTCCCTGGACATTTAAAGCATCAACATTACATGACTAGTTTCATTACACACAGTGTGCTTTACTTTTGGAGGCAGTGGAGGCTCAGCCACCAAGAACTGCCTTGCTCCCCTCCCCCCAACCCCCACAGCAGTGGGACAGAAAACACTAGTACCAAAAGCCCAAACTGCCTTTTGAGTGCCACAAACCCAGACTGCCTTCCACACCAGCTGGAGGCCAAAAGATCTGGCTGCTCCCTACCCTTGTGTAAGAGCTCCAGCTGTCTCCTGACAATTTCAGCAGTGCTCCAGAACACAGAAGTAAGCAAGGCCCAAAAAGAGACAGTTTAGGATAGCATGGAATTGGATAGAACACTGCGTATTTACTGAACCAAAACATCAGATGGAGCTTGAAGCGCTACAGAATTCAGGTCCAGCACGGTACAGTATTTATCTTGAAGAGGATGTGGGAAATTCCTGTACAACTCTGTTTATCCCTCTTGTTGTATTGCTACCCATTTGATCTGAAGAAGTGAACTTCTTTCCAGAAAGACTAGAGACCTGAGGAATGGCACCAACTCTACCAATAACTAGGACAGTTAAAGACTAACAACTCAATGTGCTACTAGGCACAGCCTAATGAGCTCGCTGCAATCTGGTGAGAAGTTCTACCCCAAGCTTTCTTCAGCCAGGGCAGGGTTTGAAGGAATGGAAAGAGACAATGCTAGTGTTAGCTTTAAAACCAGAGGGAATATAAAGGGGCATGCACTCAGAAGGAGCAGGAACCTTTCGATTAACAGACTATTTGAAGAGCAGGCTACTGCAGAAGCCATGAGCTAGGATGGTGAAGTGCACAGGATGTTGGACTGAATGTGATATGCATGGACACGAGAGACTGTTCCCACAGGCCATAGTTTAGTAAGTTCTATTAAAGCTTCTGCAGCTTCCAGCATACCTTCCTTGGTGCGCAACACACCCACTATTCAAAGAGCTCTAGGGACTAGGACATCCACGCCGCTTGCCGCCTTGCCCTAAGTCAGGTCTGCAGCTGCCTGCACCCGTTAGATTCTAGGCTCAGCTTTGCACTGATTTGCTTGCATACCACAAAGTATACGAAAGCATGAGTTATGTAACTGCACATAAAGTCATAACCACTTCCCATCGCCTGCATCTGAAGCCATGAAATACAAGAGCCCATTTGTGGAAATAGTCAGGAACGCACAAGCTGGAAGTCCCATCTAGTTCAGTGTCCAATACAAGACCCTACATCTTTAATGGTTAGTTATGGAAAACGGTCTAGGCAAAGTCTGTCCCATAAGCCTCAGGTTTCTCTTTAAAAATGTATCTGGCCTATTTAACCTGGTGTCCTTCTCCACATAAAGTATCTCTTTTCATATGCTACTAAGCTCCTGGGTCTCAGTTACATTGCTGCAATGAGATCTAGTTAATTCTTCACGTGTGCACTTCCACTTCATACAAGAACACACAATAGGACTTACAGCACAAGGGCAGACTGGGTCCTGAGCAAGATTCCTCTCGAGTGACATTCGTGTCACATCTGACAACATAAAGAGCTATTTGCTCAGCCTGGTGTCCCAGGACAGCGGATAAAAAGCTTTTCACAGTGAAGGTTACGTACACTCTGCCAGCCAGCTGCTGAAGGCAAGGTACAGCTAGAGGAGCGAGGGTCCTCATGCCCCAGACTGAGCTTGGTATAGAAACAAACCCGTTGATGGAACAAGGATTCTTGTCTCCTTCCCACACAAGAAGGGCCAGGTTAAATGGGTTTTGCTCATTAGTTCTAGTTTCGAACACGTCTGATGTACAGTCAGTTCAGCATCTTTCCAGATTTCAGCCTGAGGATCTCAAACGTCTCCCGAGAATGCACGAACACATACAAGGTTCTGGACACAAGGCAAGTGGAGGTGGCATTACGTGAAGTTGCAATGTCCTTCAACAGAACTCGAAATCCTCTTCTGGATGGGAACAGAAGCAGTACTACTAGACGGGGAGGGGTCGGTTCACTCAGGAGCCTGGTGCCATTCACAGTTCTTGAAACAAAGGATTCCAAAGGGGGAAGACTGATTTCGTTTCATGCTCAAACAGCGGGAGGCAAGACGGGCACAATACATGCCTCATCCTAGTGTTACACCCAAGATGTGCAGAGCGGCAGGCTTGCAGAAGTGTTGCTGGTGCCTAGACACTGCACCCAAAGGCCATTCCCTCCCACTCTGCCTAAGGCTCTAGGGATTTTGAGTGAGGGTGCTGATGCAGGCTCTGAACTGTGGCAGGAGATGAGCTGCTGCCTGCAGGCACCATCCCTGCCTCTTCCCATTGACCACGGGGCACTCTGGGTGGGGCAGCACATGGGGGCACAGGCCCCCTACCCAGTCCAGGGGTCACAAGAATGCATGTGCTAGCAGCTGCCCAGAGCCACAGCGGGCTGGAAGCTGCTCTGGTGCTGCTGACAGTGATGGCCTTGTGGGCTCTAGGGCCATTTTAAAAGTCACTTGGGGCAACAGGCAGAGCTGGAGGAGAGACCCGGCTCTGAACTTTGCTGGAGTCAGGCCACAGGCTGGGAATATTCCCGTGGGCTCATGGTCTCCGGGCACTAGAACTCACCACCCATGAAGATGAGGTGTTTTACAGTACAAGCAGTCCCCGGGTTACGTACAAGATAGGGACTGTAGCTTTGTTCTTAAGTTGAATTTGTTTGTAAGTCAGAACTGGTGTCCAGATTCAGCTGCTGCTGAAACTGACCAGCGGCTGACTACAGGAAGCCCGAGGCAGAGTTTCTCTGCCCCG